CTGATTAATTACATCAAATCTTATCAATTTTCCTTCGATAAATTATTATATATGCAACCGACCAGGAAATTTCCCCAGAAGAATATATTTCCAATTTAAAAGAGGGAAATGGTATTTCCTGGTTTATTTTTATTTGCAATTAACACAGATTTTATTCATTTGTGAAAGCGGTTCTACTGATCAATTACATCAAATCTTTTCAATTTTCCTTCAATAAATTATTATATATGCAACCGACCAGGAAATTTCCCCAGAAGAATATATTTCCAATTTAAAAGAGGGAAATGGTATTTCCTGACTTACTTTTATTTGCAATTAACACAGATTTTATTCATTTGTGACAGCGGTTCTACTGATCAATTACATCAAATCTTATCAATTTTCCTTCAATAAATTATTATATATGTAACGAATAACTTTTACGTTTCTAGATTTTGAGGTATTTATTATTGGAATTGGTACAACTATCAACCCTCAGAGGCTGAGATCAATGGTTACAGAACCATCAAAACATCATTACTTCCAGCTTCAAAAGTTTGAAGACTTCAGTGATATCATATGGTTTATCAAAAACAAACCGACGGAAGGTAAAATATTATCATTATTTGCTAGTTTAAAGTTATCTTCAAATTTTGACAAACGTGTTAATCTGTGTTAGGGGAGAAAACGTTTTTAAAAGAACAACTGAATTATTGATAGTGTTACTATAAAAAAATGATTTTCAATAAAAACCATAAATTTTACCCTTGCATCAATCTAGGTTAAGTTAATTAATGAAAAGAAATTAATGTCAAGAAATTGTTAAGTCAATTCGCAGACTTGGGAATACGTGATTTCGGATTGTAAGGTCGAATTTTGTTTTAAAGGCTTCACAGGTCTACGTTATTCTAACCCATCCTGGAATATTTTCAATCGTTTGTTTGTTTGTAATTAAGCACAAAGCTACACAATGGGCTATCTGTGCTCTGCCCACCACGGGTATCAAAACCCGGTTTCTAGAATTGTAAGTACACTGGCATACCGCTGTGCCACTCGGGGGCATTTTCAATCGTGTGAAGAATAATATTCTTACTAAAAATTACGGATCGGGAGTAGCCAAGTAGTTAGCATACCCGGACTGTAATATCTAAAGTTCCGGGTTCGCATTCCGTTGCTGTAAAAATGCGATCCACATTTTGGGACCACGTGTGAGCTGCGACAATGGCAGTTGAATCCTGTTATTCAGTCAGCTAAGAGTTGACGGTGGGTACTATGGACTAACACCTTCCTCTAGTCATTAGCTGAAAATTTCCAGCGGTCATGCGCAGAAAGCCCTTCTGCAACTTTGAGCGAAACTTCTAGATATAATAATGTATGCGTTTGACCCTCGGGAATGGAACCATTATTGATAATTAGTTTCAAAACTCATCTGTCCCTCGCTCGGACAGCGGAAAGTCTTCGGATTTACATTGCTAAAATCAGGGGTTCGATTCCCCTCGGTGGACACAGCAGATAGCCCGATGTGGCTTTGCTATAAGAAAAAACACACAGAACTGACCTTAGTCACAGGTACAGAAAAAAATTAACCTTCGCAAAAAAATCACAAAAAACAGAACAGTCAGTTAGTTAAGAGTCAAAATCTTTTAATAACTTTTTTGGATCATTGAATTATCTAAGAGTTATTGGTGAATATAAACTCTAAATGTTGATAAAGTTTGTGGTTCATGTGTGAAAAGATATGTAGTTTACAGTTTACAAACATATATGTAGTTTTAAAACAGTCATTGGTACAGACAGCGTTGCTAAAACTAGTGAATGGTAGTTTACAAACATAAACATAATCTTAAAACAATCATTGATACAGACAGCGTTGTTAAAACCAGTGGATGGTAGTTTACAAACATAAATGTAGTCTTAAAACAATCATTGATACAGACAGCGTTGCTAAAACTAGTGGATGGTAGTTTAAAAACATAAATGTAGTCTTAAAACAATCATTGATACAAACAGCGTTGCTAAAACTAGTTAATGGTAGTTTACAAACATGTATGTAGTTTTAAAACAGTCATTGGTACAGCCAGCGTTGCTAAAACTAGTGAATGGTAGTTTACAAACATATATGTAGTTTTAAAACAGTCATTGGTACAGCCAGCGTTGCTAAAAATAGTGAATGGTAGTTTACAAACATAAATGTAGTCTTAAAACAATCATTGATACAGACAGCGTTGCTAAAATAGCGTAACTTAGTAGTTAATGAATGATGTGTGTGTGTGTGCGTGACCTATTTGTGAATACCAGATTATAACTTAATGAATTCGGTTAATTAATACCAGATTATAACTTAATGAATTCAGTTAATTAATACCAGATTATAGCTTAATGAATTCAGTTAATTAATATAACTGAATTTTAAGGATGAATTATTTGGAAAATCTAACATGGAAAGCTAAAAATATCTTACGAATTCAATTATAATACAATGATACACATACACACACATAGGACGATCTATCGTCTAAAAACTTGTCTATTTTATTAGTTTCTGTAGATTTAGGTTAATAACAATTATATAATCGAATTAAGTTAAAGTTTGATAAATACCTCAGAAGTTGTACGTGATCAGTTATCGTTTTTTTCTTCCTTTATTTACGTTCTAACGAAAGCTGAGTACGATAATCATTGGTATAATTAGTCACTTGCTGTATTCATAACATTTATCTTTCATCTTCTAACGTCGATATTTTTATTAACAAACTCTAACGACGTAAAGATTTAGTAGTGTGAACTTTTAACAAAGTTGAACGGATTACATTTGAAAGTTCTATTTACATGAGCTATATGAATTATAATATAGACATTTTTGATGGAATGAAAACAGATATACTGGCATTGGAAACAGAATTTTGTTGTACCTTACTTAATATTACATCAAAATATTCTAATCTCTTCGTATGTGCATTTTTAAGCAAAATGACAACGAAATTACATTACCATTAACTTATATACACACTAACCAACGTAAAACGTGATATATGCAGTGTAACCATTTCTCCGGCTACTCGGCGGTAAGCCTGATAGTTGATAATGCTCAAATTCAAGGTTCTATCCTCTATGTTCACCATCTAATTCTAATTTTCTTAATTATAAGAACTTCTGAGCGAAAGTAAAGGAGACTATATAATAATACAGTATTCCCTCGCTATTCGCGGGGGTTACGTTCTTTA